ATAGTCTATTGTACTTTTTAACAACTTTTACTATTACAGGGTTTTTTTGATGCCCAGCCAAAACCTACTTCCTAGTTATTTAAATTCATTATTTCTTCACCTATCTTTTGGAACAACTTCGTCAATTCTGCTCTGTGTTCTACATGAGAGCGCTTCATATTCTTGAAAACAATTATCATATTTCCCTGCATTTTTCTCTTTTCCAATACCACCAAGCATTCCTCATTGTTTTGCTTCCTGTCCATGACCATCTTAGTTGCTCTCTTTTGAACAAGCTCTGTTTTGTCAGTATTATTCCTAAAAATGTAGCATCCAAAATGCAATCCAATATTGTAGATATGATCTGGTTAATCCAGGTTATGATAAATGGTGGGTAAAATGGAAGGGAGCATCCATGAATCAGCATCCTAACCCAAACATTGTATGGTCATTAGGACAGCCACATGAAACATTTAAACCCAGCATCTAAATGTTGGGTTTTGTGTGGCTTGGAATGTCATTTCTCTTGATGAATATTTTGTTGATAGAATAGAATTGTGTTGGCTTTTTTTGCAGCTGTCTCACAGTATGGACTCATGTGCACTTTGTGACTGACCAAGACAAGCAGACCTTTTTTACATGTACTGTTTTTCAATTTGGTCTTCCCATCATGCCTTTGAGTTTTCCTATCGAAATAAAGGATTTTGCTTTGCTCTGTGTGAAGTTCATTGTTCTGGTTCCTGCCCATTCTTCCAGCTTAAGATCCACTGATATCTGGATATCATTCACTAGGTTGTTTGTTCCTCTCTTTCTTTCTAGTAAACTGCAGATCTAATAATCAATTTTTTAACTTTTTATTCATATTTTCTAACCTCTCATCTAAAATGTTATTAAATATGAAAACAGAATGTGCTAAAAATAGAAGCTTCCAGTATATTCCTTACACTCCTTCCATATTCATTCAGTTCCACTAATGTACCTTTGTTCAATCAGCTTTGTATCTATCTGATGATAGCGGAGCCCAGCCTAGATTTTTTCATTTTCTTCACTTGGATCTCAAGGAAGATTTGGTTGAAAGTTTTGCTGAAGTCAATGTACATCATGCCTATCATATTACCATGGTCAACTATACTGGCCATTCTTCATTTATGCAACTTTAATAAACATATTCTAATGGTACAGAAATTCATCTATTTGTTATACTTTTTCACCATTTATGTATAACTACCATGTTTCCCCAGAAATAAAACCTAGTCTTATATTTTTTTTGGGGGGGGGCTCCAAAATAAGCATTAGGGCTTAGTTCAGGGAAACGTATCAGGAAATCAGCTCAGCTGGGCGCCCCACCTCCTGGTATATACACAAGAGGCGACGAGCAGCGGGGGCCAACAGTGGTAGTCTGCTGCCGGTGCCACCACACAAAAATGAGCCTCCCACGGCTGCTTGTCCACTCCAGCCCTTTCCCACAATCTGTGCATCATGTCTGGATTGCCTGCCTTCTCCCCCATGCCTCTACCTGATGCCAGTGCCGCCGTGCAAAGATGATCCTCCCATGCCCGCCTGCCCATTCCAGAACACCGACTGTCTACCTCCGCCTGCTGCTTGGACAGGTAATCAACTCACTTGTGCTGCATGGGCTGCAGCTGGAAACTATTGACCTCTGTGCCCTCACCACCTCCAATGCTGGCCATGCCCACTTACCCACATGGCTGATGACAATCTTAATTGGGGCTTATTCTGGGGGTACAGCTTATTAGGAGCACACTAAAAACCCAGGCTAGGGTTTATTTTCTGGTTAGGTCTCATTTTCAGGGAAACACAGTATTACATCATTCAATTTATCATAACATGTAATTAGTTTGGTCTTTGATACATTAATTTTCAGATCCTTCTCACTGTATCATTCAGTGTACTTAATATTTGTTGCAAATTGTTCAGTTCTCAGTCACCAACATAGCATAATCTGTAAACAACAGTATATATTCAGCCAATAAATCTCATCACACTAATTCCTTGTATATTTATCATAAATATGTTAAAAAACCAACAGGACATTACACATCCCTAGCCTAATCTTCCATCAATGGTGAATCATTCACTAAGTATTCTATTCTCATGCATGTTTACTTCCATAAGGTACTACTCATAATGCAACCAACTTTCAACTCATTTTTGCACAAAATATCATAAACAAACTTATTCAATACAAGAGGATAATCAAATCTATTCACTTTACAATATGCTTCCTCTCAAAACATACAATAAATTTCACATCTATACTTTTTTCAATAACACGTTGAAGAGCAAAGATCTGGTTTTTACATCCCTGTTCATCATAAAGCAACAGTATACCCACAGATTTGCTCATTATTAACTCTTCCATTCTTTCATCAGAATTGTGCCAGACATTTTCCCAAGTGCATATCACTTATTGCATTTATTCATGCTATTTTCCCTTTCTATAAGAGAATAATACATTCGTCAATATTCAGTATTAGAAACAGTCTTCACGCAAGTTAAAAAGTCACATAGGTACTCTGTAAGTAAACTTCATCCATATTTTAACATTTTCCTATAGCTTTACAATTTTTCAACATTTTTACAGCATATAGGACTTCTTTTTCATATTTTTCAAATTCAAATGCTATCCATTATTTTTTCAACCATAGCTTTTAGACTATACCTTTGAATGCTACTTTTCAATTGTTAAATTGTCTAAAAGCTTCACAGTTGTTAAGCTGTGTTATTAAAAGTTATTAAAGCTTTGGCTAAGAGTAATGTATGCATTCTTTATTAACAAGCTTGGCTTTATCTTCCTCATATATACGTAGAGTACCCTTTATCCATGTTCTTGTATATATAT